TGCCGTCACAAAGGTTTGAAGAAACACGTCTTCTTATTTTCTCTTCACCACAAATCAAATCAGTGAGTCTTTTTTCTAGATTATACAATTTTTTTTAATGATTTTACTTATTATGAATGATTCAGAAGTTCATTATTTWTTATGTTCAAATCAACATAAAATTTCTAAATTATAACAATTTTTATTTMCATAAATTAATTTAATTAAAACTACAGCACATATCTTATAGTTACCAATCGTGTTTTTATTTTAATATTACAGTTACAGCTTAATATGTACAGCAAAAAAATCTMCAGCCTAAAAATGTARAGCCTAAAAAATGTACAGCTACAGCCAAAACATTTACAGCAAAAATTCTACAGCAATTAATCTACAGCTACAGTCGAACCAATCACCCACTAAATGTGTAAATATGGTCTGTAATTTTTTATATCATTTGCATCGTTGTAAAACTAACGAAGTTTCCTTCAAAATCTTCATCAATTCCTCGTATTTTTCAACAAAAATATAAATTTGCTCAAATCATATTTCTCTATTAATGAATTATCCACAATTTTGAAAATATTACTCACATAAGAAAAAATAACTTAAATTTTCATTTTTTTATATTTTGTAATCGCTATAATTGTTTACTGGTCAGTAATTAGTTCTAAAGTTTTTTTTTCAAAATTTTTTTTATTTATAAAGTTTGAATAAATTCCACTCACAAAACGATACTTGACTGTAACAATATTACGGAATAAATGCCAAAACCAGGTTAAAATATCTAACAAGAAAAAGGTTTTTATTAGGCACGATCCAAAAGATGAGGATCGATTATAATTATAATCATTGACCCAAGTCTCAATTGAAAGGGGATGGCATCTTAATTAAATTTAAAGTGATTGTGACAAATTAGATCTCAAAGGGGACAAGGTGATCTCATGCATAAATGACCTTCAAGATTTAGTGCCAATGGAGTTAGGTAACCGTTATTGACATAAAGAAGGCATATTATTTTGTCAAAGATATTACCCAATGTTTAAGAAAGCGCTAGGCGCTAAGTGGACGATGATCCATGACCCAATAGCTAGTGTTTAGAATGCCTAATCGGAACCTAGGCGATTCAATAGGCGGTCTAAACGTTTTAC